TCTACGCCTTCAAGAGTACACGTTCTCTGTAATGTACAAAACAGGGCGATTACATCAGGATGTGGATTGTTTATCCCGCTACCCTGTTGACGAAGCAACCGATACTGACGCTATCACGGACGTTTTTCCCGTGTCGCAGCTGTTAAACATTAGCGAAGAGCAACGTCGGGATGATTCTTTACGAGCCATCATTGACAAACTGGAGTCAACGCCTCGCGACCCGTCCCTACGAATGTTTTTGGTGAAAGACGGGATCCTATATCGCCGCAACCTTGATTCCTTCGGATCAGACTTACTTCCTGTCATCCCAGCACACCTGCGTTCCACTGTCCTGCATCAACTTCATGACGCTCCCATGACGGGCCATTTGGGCGTTTCTCGCACATACGATCGGGTACGACGTCGGTTTTTTTGGCCTGCACTTTCCCGCTCAGTTCGACGCTATGTCGCTGCTTGTGAGCCCTGTCAGCGTCGCAAAACGCCGTCTGCCCTCCCAGCCGGCTACCTTCAGCCGATCGACGTTCCCAACGAGCCTTTTTTTCGAGTTGGTCTCGACCTGTTGGGCCCTTTCCCACTCTCCACAGCCGGAAATAAATGGATTGCTGTTGCCACGGACTACGCGACGCGGTACGCAATCACACGAGCACTTCCGACCAGCTGCGCTACCGACGTTGCGGACTTTCTGCTGTACGACATAATATTAGTGCACGGTGCTCCCCGTCAACTTCTCACCGACCGTGGCCGCACGTTCTTATGAGCTGTCGTTCATGAAATCCTGAGGTCTTGCCATACCAAGCACAAATTTACTACTTCGTACCATCCACAGTCAAATGGCCTCACGGAGCGCCTTAACAGGACCCTAACCGATATGCTTGCCAAATACGTTGCGCCAGACCACCATGATTGGGACATTCATTTGCCGTATGGGACGTTCGCCTACAACTCATCTCGTCACAACACTGCCGGATATTCGCCCTTCTATCTACTATATGGCCGGGACCCAACTCTATCTTTAGACACATTATTACCTGCGGCCACTGAATATGCTGGTGAAGCCATTGCCCGCGCCGACCACGCGCGCCAAGTCGCCCGTAACCGTCTACAGGCTTCACAGGCGCGCCAACAACAGCTCTACAATTCTCACCATAGAGACGTGCACTTTTCTCCGGGTTCTCTCATGCTCCTCTGGTCACCTACTCGGCGTGTGGGACTGTCGGAAAAACTGTTGTCGCCCTACACTGGACCATTCCGTATAGTTCGCCAAGTGACAGACGTCACGTACGAGATTGTTCCAACTGATCCAACAAAGTCATCGTCAGCTCCGAGCGACACCGTTCACGTGGCTCGGCTAAAGCCCTATTACCCCCCTTCGACATCATCTGCGTAAATTTAGCACCGGGACGGTACTTCTACCGCCGGGGGTTATGATACAAAAATGCGGCTAAACACGGCCGCAAGAAAGAGGAGGACGAAGTGGGTTTTTTCGTTGGATGCTGGTCTGACGCCATCTTGCTCGTCGGGTTCTCTGCGCTGTAAATAGCTCATTAAACAAGTTACTCGTAACAATATATACGGTAAGTCACGGCGACGCCAACGTTGGTGCCATCGGCAAAACTTAGCCAAAAGGGACCCTACAATTCATGTCGCAATAAAATAATTAATACATTTATTACTAATACTATTGGTGTTTTACGTCCCATGACGACGCTGAAATTATGGGAGACGGCGAAGTGGAACGCTGCAGAATGTTTGACAATCAGGTGTGTTTTAACGTGCACGGCCATAAAAGAGTCAAGGAGCCTCTGCCAAATTGTATCCATCGATATGCGACCACAGCGGCCGGGGTTGAACCCGAAACCTTCGGGTCAGCAGCCAAGCACTCTAGCCATTGATCCATTGGGGCATACCTGTAGTAGTAGTAGTAGTAGTAGTAGTAGTAGTAGTAGTAGTAGTAGTAGTAGTAGTAGTAGTAGTAGTAGTAGTAGTAGTAGTACAATATAAATATTACTGTCACTATTAGTACAGTGTAAGCAATAATATTTTAGTCCACCTCGGTGGATCTGTGGTTAGAGTGCGCGGCTGCTGACCAAAGGTCAGCAGCCGCGCACGTGATTCTTCAACTGCAGAACATTTTGAAAACAATGTTACGAAATATTTTCTAGGTGAATGTTCGTAAACGGTGATTGCTGTTTTTGGTGTGTGTGCCTGTTATCTTTTGACTATGAATCTATTTGCTGTAACTTGTCTCATGTACGTTGTAGGATGTAATATTGGGAAGTGTATTTTGTGATGTATGTGATGTAGCATGTAAGTCGTAGAACGTAGTGTAGTGATGTATTCCTTTTGTATCGGCTATGCATTTTTTTTTACGCATGACATGACGGTTGTTATGTTAGTTTTCTACCCCACCCCTGTAACGGCCCGATCGGCCAACAGTACCTGGAAATAATAATAATAAAAAAAGGTTCGGTTTCAATCTCGGCCACAGTGGCCGTATTTGAATGGAGGCGAAAGGTAAAGGCCCGTGTACTGTGCAATGTCAGTGGATGTTAGAGAACACCAGATGGTCGAAATTTCTGGAATACGGCGTTCCTCATAATCATATCGTGGTTTTAGGAGGTGGTGCCCCAGATATTGTTACAGAAATGAAGTAAAGGAAGAGGAAAGACTTAATCAGTTGACAGGCAAGCGAGTGTGCCAGTCAGTCATTGTGGCCATTTTCCGTAAGAATATTATTATTATTATTATTATTACTATAATATAACTTTTCCGACTGTTGGCTTCAAGTGATAATCGTGTCCCTAGTGACCCTTCGAAAGGTGCGATAAAGCTGAAATGAAGGTGGTGAGGGTGTACCTTTCATTTATAGCCCTGATAGAAAGGTCCATGAGGTGTTCTCGAATAATAAAACGCTAGAACTGCGCAGGGAGGCACATCACAGTCACAGCGAAAGCTAGAAAAGCGGGCTTTGAGAGCTCTTTATAAACATTCCTTGGGGAACTGCTGCAAGCGCCCTGGCTGGGTACCCACTTAGGCATTATAATGACAATTTCGAATAGTAGACCAACATTCAATATGCTATTTTTTGTTATTCTTCTGAAAAGCCTTGTATCCGCTAAGCACAGGCAAGGAACTTTGCGCCAATGGTTCATGCAACGGCTGACAACGACGGGGAATTATGCCTAAGATTTTTTGCACCACAGTTATAGATGATCGAAAAAACTTTTTGTAATGGGTTGGATCGAGCATTGGATGACGCACTCCTTACGCTATTCGCATTGTGTGACACCTCGTTGTTCTTTTTATTGGTATAAAACCCTTTATTACTCACAATAATGCGATTCTTTTCCCGACATCAAGCCTTGCTAGGGCAAGTTTGCGAACAAGCCCCAAGCACCGGCGTGGCTCAGTGGTAGAATGCTGGGCTGGCACGGAACGGGCCTAGCTTCGAGTGCCCCTGTGTCCTTGGTGCTAGGCTTTCTTTTTATTTCGCGATAATAGCCAGTGGTTACGGACACCGGCGGCGGTAACGGCGGACAACTACGGCGAGCGCGTGACGCGAGTTTCGATCTCATAACGGCTTTCGCTGTAAAAGAAATATCAGTTGCATTAGAACATTAGTCTGCGTTTGCAATTATTGGGCAAGTAATTTCATGAACAGTTTTGTGAGCAGTACAACTCCGGACATCATGCATTGTTGTTAACATTATAAGTATAGCTCCTCATTCATGTGAAAGTGTGGACCACTGTAAATGCACTCAGCTCTTTGCTCTTGCGACCAGCTTCAACTCCGAGTCCATGCTTAGGCAAGCCATCGTGCACTATTGTACAGTGAGGTTAACGGAGCCGCTCGAAGAACGTTTCGAAATTTATAAGTATGAAACCTATATGAAAATGTATAGCTGCCAAAGTTAGGATGATTAACTCTCGAATGAAGCAAGTTGGCATGGGGCGAGTGGAGGCAGCTTAAAACAAAAGAGTACTGACATAACTTCGAGGCACCTAATAAAGGACATCTTTCGTTCCATTGTTGTGCACTATCAGCTTACTATCAGCTCTCTCCACACACCCAAGCTTGAGACACAAGTATAAAACATTTTACTTTGACTTTGCAGTTCGTCACCCAGCATCGTCAAGCCAGCCCCACTGCAATAGACAGCATCACTGCAAGTCAGCATAGTTCACTGTGTTCGAAAACTTTTATTCTTGCGTGCAGTTTAAATTCGCAGAAAATCTTGTCTGAGTCGCTGGACTGTATTTTACACATCAGCTTTTTACGTGAACCACGTGTGAAGGAAAGCAAACAGGCTGTTGTTACTAGTAAGTCACGAGTTGTAAACTTCCCGTGACGTCAGACATCTTGCACATCACTGCGAAGCTGCCCTCTCGATATCAAAAGAGAACTTGTTCTTTTGAGGTAGCGGTATTCAAAATACATTCCATGACTTATCAGGTACTCTTTTCAGGGTTCTCGACATACTGTGTATTTTTTTAAACAAAAACCAGGAAATAGTTAAAATTCATGTCAGTCTTTTTACATAGAGAGCAAGCAAGACCAGTTTTCTTTCCTGCAGTATTTTTAGACTAATTTGTTTTTTTTACTGCTGTGACATCTTGTGACCATTACTCTCACTAAAAAACGTTCTCGTGAATGTCACATGCTCACGGAAGTTGAGCGGAACGGAATAAAGCCCCTACAGCGATCGCTAGCCGCGGACAGCAATGCATTGTGTGTGCCTGCGACTAACTTGAACGTCGTGTTTCTGTAGCGTGACAAGCATTGTTGGAGTGCATTAGATCAGATAAAAATTTCAAGGTTAACTGCCCTTAACGAATTCGGGACATATAGCTGTCCCAACAGGGGCGGTGCAGGAGTCGGGACTCTGCAAGGAAAGCCAGGGACAATTTCGCGAAATTCGAGACGGTTGGTAACCTGTCAAAGCACCGGGGAGTAGCTGTACCCGCGTAAGGTGAAAAAATGATGAAAAACCACGACTTACTTGTAACAGCCAGTGACGTGATAACAAATAAGTCGACGTAGAGAAACATTGGGTCTGAAAAGTTTGTTTGCACCTGCGCAGAGAAAATCAGAACGTTTAAAACAGCTGGCTCTTAGATAGTTGTCGAACTACCGCAGTACATCTTTGAATTTTCTCACTACCTTGGGAGGCTGGGAAAGAAATTTTCAGAATAATATACTCTCTGCAACAGATACACAATAAACGTCTTTATTTTAGATGAGGGTTCTGGAAAGGCATATTTATTGCAGGGCACTTTCATCTCGGGCCAGTATGGCTGCGGCCAGCTTTAGAACATAATTATTGAAGACGTTAATCGTACTTCGTATACTGTAATACATCATAACTGTGTCTGAAGACTATTTGCGAGACATGCTGATACGCAAAGGCATACATTGATTTCGATTGCCGTCACGCTGTTGGTCGATCACATTAATGCCTTCCTACTCTTCGGCTGTTGAAAATGAACTTTACCGCCATAGGTCGGACCTTTTATGGTGCCGTCACACACACATGATGCCGCGCGATACCATGGTATGACATGATCAGTTACGCCGAAAAATTTTTAAGATGGTAATAAATGATGACGTTATGTGATTATCTAGAAGCAGGACTTTATTAGTGACGCAGGTCACGTACTTATTGTCACGTACAGCGTTCGCACCACTTACTCGCCTGCTATGTTTCTCTGAAGGGGTTGCGCGATCGAAAAACTTGTAAACTTCACGTAGAAATGACAAATCATACTTGAAGTAATCATCAGTAGAAAAGTTTCCAGTTGGCCTGAACTCATCTGAAGAAATTTGCTCGCCTGTACAAAGCCATTTGTGGCTGTTTGAAATGGAGCCTAGGTTAAATTTCATTTGCCCATTTCAATATTCTTTTATGCGTACCAACTCATCTTAGTTAGAAACAACATTTTGCCTGGTGACATTATTGCGCGTGACTACATTCAGATGAATGTGCCACCGCGAGAAAAGTTATACGGATTATGGCAGCGCATGCCAAAATGCACCCACGTTTCATCTGTGGATGCGGCGCCTGTTGTCGAAAAGGGCACAAAAGTAGTCATGCATGAGCATCCCCTTTTGTGCAGTAAATATATCTGGTGTGGTTACGGTGCTCGTCAAGTAAACCTCTAACGGCTGTGGCTTTCTGCGCTTCGTCACACTTTCTCTATTGTTCTACACAACAACTGAGCAAGCTCGCACGGCCCGTAAGAATTGCCTATGCTCTATTCACGCGCTATCCGCACAACCACCACACACGCGCCAGGACACCTGCCACGCTAAAGTGGAGGGCGAAATAGTGCTGCCGATAGGCTCTTTCGCCCTCCGCTCGTGAACGGCTGGTGTACCGGCATGTTCGGTGTGGCTGTGCGGATAGCGCGTGGATGGGCACTCTAACTTCAAAACAGCGGAGCTGTTTAAACCAGGCCTAATACTACTGCTGAATCCAAAAACTAACATTATAAACCGGCACGTGCTGTTTTCATGCCATTTTCATATTCTGCTTAATCTGAGAACACTTGTCCTGATTCGTCAGGCTTGATCACAGAAAACGAAAACTAATAATTGTTGGGGTTTATCGTCTCAATCGAAGAACACGGGCCTGTAGAAGGTCATGTGCTTATATTTAGGTGCACGCGTCCAGGGAAATAACTAAAAACACTGCAAAGGAACACAGGAATGACGAGAAAGGAATCTAAAGTGTATAGGCAAAATGAGCGCATTCTTAAGCTTCACCTTTAGGAGTTGAATGCTCAAGCGATACCCTGTACCTACTGAGTACTTGAACTACTAGTTGTACACTATTAATTGTATCTTGTTACCGGAGAAGTTGAGATTGTCGATTTTTAGAATGTAATCGATGACGGTGACACCGGCTTGTTTCAGCGACGTTTTCACATAAGGCTGAGTTCTGTCTAATTAGTAGAATGCTTTGTAGCGCACAAAAAATTGTGCGCTTGAAATCTTTTTGATCTTTCTTCGCACGCTCTACGTGCTCTCTAGGGAATACATGCAGCAACACCTTGTGAATTTTGTAAAAGCTGACCGGCTTTAAACCGAGAAGCCGTTACTATAATCACGAGTTTCGACGCCCAATGGCGTTGTGTGCTTGTACCAGGGAGTATTTCCGCAATATTACATGTTGTATTGCGAAGCCTGTGTACCGGACAAGCATGTCTCTAAAACAAGAACTGTATTTCCAGCGAATTTCCATGCACAGGTAGTCATTTTACTGTATTCGCAAAGAGACGCGTGGCTGCGTGCTGAAACACCTGCCCGGCGAGTAAACGGTGCGGGTTCAATCCTCCGTTCTCCCCAACAGTTTATATTAGTTATTTACGCGATAGCATTGCAGAGCTCGTTTCCCGGAAATTCCGGCGTCGGCGCATGGGCATAGGCCTGGTTAGTTGAAAACGTTGCTTGCGGGTAGAAGCATACATTGCCATCGGGCGTCAGGACATTTGGTTTTCATAACGACTTCGTGGTTTAAATCGGCCATCCATAACAAAAGGCCACCTTATTCTTTTCGCGCATTACCCTAAGACCACTCTGTGCGGAAATGGCAGGTTTGAAAACAATGCACTCCCATTATTTCTCATGCTTTAAAACTTGCTACCCACTGGAAAGAGTGCAGCCACATGTGTAGTCTTCACTGTAAATAACTACTTTTAACTCAACAGACTACATTGCAGCAATCAACAAATCAAACTTCTCGAGTGACATTATACAATAAAAAGTATATAAGTGATTAAAGTACGCTTTAGGGACAGAATATTGCTATAGCATTCAACTCTAACAAGTGAAGCTTAAGAATCCCCCATTTTTAGTAGCTAGATCCTCAACTTTGCCCGCAGTCCTGCGGCCACCGACGTTTACACCAGTGTACAATTATCCGGTCTCCGCTCAAGATCCCCGCTAAGGTTATTTCAACACTACTTATTAGATGGCGGGCCCCCACTCAAGGCGTCAGTTTTCGATGGCTCACTCACTCGCCTCCTCGTAAATAAGTCCACTTCGTTTTCGTCACCTAGTAGTGAAAGCAGCTCGTGAAAAGTTCGTACGATGATTGTTACTGATGGGTATCGACATTCTCCCAAACCCTTTCACGTACCTGTTCTCACCCCCGTTGAAGAACGCCTGATGTCCACGTCGGTAATTTATGAGCGTTAGGCAATTGACTCACGGCAGTCACCAGTATAGCCCAAAAGGGCAGGTGGTAAATGTGCCGATTGACGTGGCTAGCACTGAACAGCGGTGGCCGCGGAACATCACCGACAACGCTGTTTCTGGTGTAAACAACATGCCCCGACTCGTTAACAAGCCTTCCTACTGAAATAGTCTCACCAAGATGCACCCCGTTCACCTTCGAGCAAGCTACTATATCATTAATCTCTTTGTGGATGTGTTTATGTTTTTTCATTAGCATTTTAAACTTTTTTTTCGTCACGGATGAAATTACTTTTTGCTCGCAACCAAAGACGGCCAAGCCGACACTGACACCTACACCATCAGCTTTTTATTGCTATAGTGTTGAATGCGATCTTCATGGCAGGGATCAAACCCGTGACGTTCATATCAGCAGCCGAGCACACAAGCTAATAGTTCACCAAGGCGAAGAAGAAGAAAAAACAGAGAGGAAGAGGTAAGGTGAGAAACATATGAAAAGAACACACAAAAAGCGAGAACGAACGGAAACAGCAAGCAATGGTGGTTTGTACAGTAGGAACAAGAGGTGGGAAAGAAAACGAAGACAAGGTAAAACAGTCGTTGAGAGGATAAAGTATGCCACAGTGTGGTATATTACCGCAAAGGAAAGCAAGGGACATGTTAGAAGCTAATGCATGGCAAAGTTTTGTGTAACAAAGAGGAGAAAACATTCTCACCACTTCTCCGCACCAATATTGTGCTGCATTTTATCTTGTTTCTTCCATATTTATGGCACCCGTAACCGCTTTCTCTGATGCCGTTAGATGACTAGATCAAAAATATGTTTCTTTATGTAGCATTGTGCTCGTATAACGTACATACCGATAAGCTTGCTCATAAAAACAGATAAGTGCACTGGCCACACAGACAAAGCGGCCTCGTGAGAATTCACAAAACACTCACAGCTTCGTCTTTCGAGGAACGACTCTGTGAACTGTGCTCAAAAAGCCCCTTGGCTTCTAGAATTCGATTCAGCATACACAAAACTATTCGAAAACATGTAGCCCCTTCTGCATCAAAAAAACTCGAAAATCATCAAGCATTACTATGAAAATTTGTTATTCATCGCTACTTACGTGATACAGAAGTATGACAGATAGAAATTGAATGATGCTGTACAGAGAAATGAATTGGAACATGGAGAACGATGTAGCAAGAGTACATCTGCCTTCCCTGAAATGAAGAAAAATTTCGGAGTCAATAATAACCCGTAAGCCTGCTGATAGATTTCCACGTAACGTGCAAAGACAAATGCACAATTTCACTGTCTGTCTTACCTACAATCACATCTTCGCTGTGAAGGGCGGTTTCTCGGCCGAGTTGAAAATTTATTTTTTAAAGGGTAATGCTAGGGAACACGGACTGAAGGAAGGCACACAGACACAAAGACAGAAGCTGCTGCTTTACGAGCTTGTATCGTTGTGAGAACATACTTCTCCCTTCCGTAGAGAAAAAAAAAAGAATTAAGGCTCGTGTAGTACTTGATTTAAAATTGTGCACATTTGAGGTACAAGTGTTCTTTGTATGGCACTGAAGACGCAGTAAAAGAGCAACTTGCATTTTGAGCGAAGCTGTGCATATAAAGAAGGTTGACTAAAAATCCTGAGCACCTTGATAATATTGTTACACGTGGCTGCCGCAATGCATATTGTCAATATGCGTGTGTGCCCGACAAAAAGGATTAAAGCTACTTGTTGCTCGAGCTCAGAGCCAGACTAACCAGCGCTGCAGCCACTCTTGCAAATATATTTTCTAAATGTATTTCCAATATACTGACTCGTTACTCACATAACATGTTTGGTGGTAGTGTGGGGTACGTTCCACCCTCGTAACAATATCATATGTCAGTGGCAATAAAACTGAATGCAAGATCATTTGTGTAGTGAAGAAGATGAGAAAACCCACCGATAAGGGATTAGAAATAAATGTGGCAGTAATTTTATCGTTTGGCAGCATTAAATTTGGTTATAGCCACAGGGACGTCTGCTCTGTGGTATTTGACGACATAATTGAATCAAAGCGATCGCCATGTTAAATTGCACATATATATATATATATATATATTTATGTATATATTTATGTATATATGTATATATATATACATATATATATTTATGTATATATGTATATATATATATGGTGGGGTGATATTCAATGGATCCGGTGGAAAATGCAGTATAAAAAGAGGTCGACAAACGTGCGAAAAACACTAGTTTTACTAACGTTTCGGCAGGTGGGCCTGCCTTCGTCGGAGTGAAAGACGAAGGCAGGCCCACCTGCCGAAACGTTAGTAAAACTAGTGTTTTTCGCACGTTTGTCGACCTCTTTTTATACTGTATATATATATATATATTTATGTATATATTTATGTGTATATATATATATATATATATATATATATATATATATATATATATATATATATATATATATATATATATGGGATATGGCACATCAGGGGCGTTGTCAACAATGATAAATATATTTATTTCCCAACAGTTTCGGGAGGGGTCCTTTCTTAATCAGGGGATGAGTTATACTAAAATGAACTTCCAAACTTCGTTGCTGCCGCGTCCATCTCGCCTTGAAAGATGTTATCGAGAGTGAGAGAGAACTAAAAAAAGAAAGAAAAAAAGAGAAAAAGAAAGAGAAGAAAAAAGTTGAAAAAAATAAAAGGAAAAAAATAGAAAAAAGGAAACAAAGTAAAAAAGAGGAAGTACCAGTGTCAACACTGTCTCTGTCACTACGGGTTGTTGGGAGCAGGCGTCTATTACGTCGAACATGGTTTCTCAACACTCCCGCTGCGCCGCTTCCTGGCTGCTGACGGCTTACATGCAAGCTTCGAGGGATTCGCGCTGTTGGCACAGCACACGAGGGTGCAGCTGTGATGGACGTCGGTGGCATGGAGATCGGCGGCAATCGCTTGCACGGACAACTCCAGTGCCAAGCCCCCTCAGCAACAGGGAGCCGAGCGACACACAGAGGCATCCAGAGCCCCAGCAGTGACGATGTCGCCACTACGACCAGCGAGGCCAGCGAGTCCCACCAGTGAGTCAGAGATCGGCGGCAACTGCTTGCACGGCAAACTCCAGTGCCAAACCCACTCAACAACAGGGAGCCGAGGGACACAAAGAGCCATCCAGGGTCCCAGCAGTGACGACGTCGCCACTCCCACCAGCGAGGCCTTACAACACCAGGCGGACGAATGCGGCGAAGACCAAGGCGGCGGCTTCCAAATGACACGGGGAAACAAAAGGTACGGGCGGTCTTCAACACGCATGGTTCCATTCATTTCTATCGATTAGGAAAATCATTGAAAAACGGGGGCAATACGAAAAACACGCGGAACAACTAATCAAATATCCATCTCACGAAATTGCACCTAAGGGCCTCCGCCTAGCCTGCAACCCCTCAATGTCTACACTAAGTGAAGCAGAAAGGGGGAAGTGGGAAAAAATTTTACTAGAAGCGTCCTTGCAACTGACTCGGGTCATTGCGGACGATAGTGAGCGTAAGGCTACCGAATACAGTGTCACGGAGGCCACGCAGAAATTGGTATCTAATCTCGAAGAGCATGAGGCAAGAGAACTGGAAAGATATGAACTAAAGAAGAGAGGCGAAATTTCAGTAGTAAAAGATAGAAAATTCAAGCGGGACTGCAGTAGCTCCACTGCTCTGCAACAGGAAAATAGGAATGAGGCCGTACAAAAACGCCAAGGACCACCCGTACCACAACCTAACTTTGAGGAGAAAAATGGGAACTCGAAACTACAGTGCAATCCTAATCAAAACATCCTTACTCTCGAATATGACGCTGACACTCCCGTGCCACGTGATAGCCAAGAGCAGCCAAAAACTTATGAGAAAAATGTCCTCAATCTGTCCAACACAACGCTCACACCCGCTCAGCTTCAACTTTCGTCGAGAAGCTTTACCTTTTGTCCATCATCCGGTAGATTCAATGAACTTGAACTGTACCAAGACCTCGATAACTTTGCGCGTAATCTCCGCCTCCGTGAATACTTTCATGATCGCAGGGACTGTACGGACGAGAATAGATTAATTGGTGGTGACAAATCATGGTGTCCAGGTGAGCATAGGGACAAACACCTCGATATGTATATATCAGCAGTTCAAAAAGATATCAGAGCGTATGAAAAAAATCGGCCATCTCGAAACAACTTATCAAAGTCAGAACGAAGGGCACTCGATGAACTACGAAAAAACACAGAAATTACCATCGAACCGGCTGATAAAGAGGGCTTGATAGTAATTATAAACACGTCGGACTACTTAAAGAAAGGGGAATGATAGCTATCAGACACAAAATTCTACAAAGAACTTCCAACGGACCCGACTGCCGAGTTTGAAAGGGAGATAAAAGTAACCCTAAATAATCTCCACCGGGACGAGAAAATTGCCGGCAAAATGTTAAAAGCAATGTTACCGGCCCATTCTGTTCCCGGTCGATTCTATTTGCTCCCCAAAATACACAAGGCAGGCAATCCGGGACGTCCGATAGTATCCAGTAACAGCACATCAACAGAAAATATATAAGAATTCATCAATTCCTTAATAAAAAACATCCCTCCAAATTTTCCCTATTACCTAAAGGACACAAATCACTTCTTCTGCGACACTTCAAGCTCGACATCCCAGGCGGTAGTTTTCTGGTGACCATGGACGTCTGCTCACTGTACACCAACATACCCCACCATGACGGAATAGCGGCTATGGTTTCTGAATATGTAAAACCTGACTCATCAACGAGTGTAAGTGGCGAGGTACTGTTTACACTTCTTGAACTTGTACTAAACTATAACCATTTTGAGTTAATGGCAAGCATTTCCTTCAGGTCAGTGGCTCTGCAATGGGCACGAAAATGGCCCCAAATTTCGCGAGCAACTTTATGGCTTCACTTGAAATCCCATTCATTGAGCGACGCACATTAAAACCTTTCCACTACAGAAGATACTTAGACGATGTTTTTATGAGATGGAACCACGATGAAGGAAGTCTTTTCCGCTTCATAGAGGATTTTAACAAGTGCCACCCGTCAAATAAATTCACGCTCAAAATCTCCAAAACTAGCATTAACTTTTTGGACGTCACTGTGACGGTCAAAAATGACTTCTTGTCAACAAGCCTTCACAAAAAGCCTACAGACCGTCAAACGTACCTACATTTCAACAGCAGCTACCCAAAGCATTGCAAAACGGGTATTCCATATTCTCAGGCCTACAGGTACCGAAGAATATGCACCGATATGCGGGAATTTGACAGTCACGCAGAACACCTAAAGCATTCCTTATTGAATTAAAATTATCCGGAAGACATTATTGACGATGCCATACTACGCGCTCGCAACGTGAACAGGAATGATATAATTAAGGGACCAAACAAAGTATCTAAAACGACTTCCCAAACGAACCTTGTACTTAGTTACTCCTCATCAGCGCCACGAATCAACAACATACTTTCCCGCCATTTCAACATAATGAGGGAAAGCAAACGACTAACTTCTATTTTCGCGAATCCACCTGACGTGGTGTACCGCAGGGATAAAAATCTGAAGGACATTCTTGTCAGAGCAAAAATAAACACCCCCAAAATATAATCAGGGTGCCATCCCTGCGGAAAATCTCGATGCAAGGTATGCCCACAGATTGTCACAACACGTGAATCCAAAGCGAACTTTTCGGATTTCAAATTCTGCATATCTGAAAGCCTGAATTGTGACTCCAGTAACGTAATATACATGCTACATTGCAACATCTGCGGACAAGAGTATATCGGCCAAACAGACACGCCATTTCGGCTGCGGTTCAATAATCACCGGTACCAAGCCACTTCACTGCCGAAGCTACCTTTATCTAAATATCTGCGCCTGCGAAACCACAGTTTTGAAAATGTCAGCGTAACTCTTTTGCTGTCCGGTTTCTCAAACAGACGAGAGCGCGAACAGCGTGAGGCATATTTTATTTTCAAATTTCGAACATTAGTAGCCGGCATCAACGAGGACCGCGGAAGACTCTGCTGCCTCCAAGAAGTAAGCCAGGAGAAAATTGGTGACAAAGATTGATAGCTGGAGATCATGCTTGTTTTTTTCTGACTGACTCGTACGTGTACACTGTCCTTTCTTGTTTTTTTTTCTCTTCTTTTTTTCTCCTTTT